CCAGCAGTTTGATTCTGTGATGCAGCTGTGAGAGGAGGCCCACCTCAACATCCCCCTTAAGCCCTTCATTTTCTTTCTTCAGGAGTTTAATCTGATTGATAGGCATGAGTTGGCACCTCTTCAGGATTTAATCGAGAAGCTTGTATCAAAGACAGATAAATGCTTCTTCTAGAACATAGTTCCCTTCCTGCTTCATCTGCTAGAGCTATCTCATTGCTATCTGTTAAAGACTAGTGATATGGACATTAAGAAAACAGGATAAAAAGACACTTATTGTTTCTGTGTACTGATAAAATTGTTCCAAAGGTAGATTGGCCCAATCCTTCAGCGAGATATTCAAGACGCAGCCAACTCTGAGGCACTTTGTGGCCACTCCTGTTATTGTCAGAGTTAGACTGGTTGTAACATGTGGTAACTGACATGTAGTCTATTCGTTTACTTATTCCTTTACTGAAGTTGAGTGCTTCAGGTGACAGCATAATGAAGACTAAGAATTCCCACCAATACTTTATTAACAAGTTTCCAGAATAAATTACCTAATAAGGCAATCAGATCAGTTTTACTCTGTTTTTATTTACAAATAGAAGAGGTATTTTAAAGTTTCCTTAAGATTTAGAACATTTGGGGGTACCTGGGTGGCTCAATCGTTCAGCATCTGCCTTTGGCTTAGGTCATGATCCCAGGGTCCTGGGATGGAGCCCCACATCAGTCTCCCTACTCCACAGGGAGCTTGCTTCTCCCTCTCCCACTCCCTCTGCTATGTTTTCTCTTTTGCTGTGTCTCTCTCTGTCAAATAAATAAATAAAATATTTAAAAAAATTTAGAACATTTGTGTGTTACTTTGCATAACCTTTGAGTTTGAAGTTTGTATACTACTGTTTTTATAGGTAAGATTATATATAAAGAATATACATATATATATATATATTTTTTTTTTTTCAAAATCCATGACTGCTACTTAAATCCTCATATGAACTGTGTGGTATGGGAGTAAACAGAGTTATTTCTAAAATGACTATTTTTTCATCTATACTTGGTATGCTATTTATATAAACTAATCCAAAGTTTTAGGAGTATGTATATAAGAAATAATTTCCCTGAGGTATGTAAGGACAGTCTTGTACATTTTTATTAATTTTTGTTAGAAGATTTTGTATTTTTTTCACTACTGGTATATTTTATCAAATCAATCTGACAGAATGACAGATTCTTACGTCATTGTATGAGTGATGTGAATAATCATGTGAAATGTTTGAGATAGATGCTATATTTGTGAATATACTTGTATGACTTTTTTCATTTAGTAGAAACCTTTCTCAAAAACCTTTCGCAAAAATCTAGAAACAGAATTGCCTTCAGCAATCCACTTCTGGTATATACTCAAAAACGGGAAGAATTTGCCTATATACCAAAAATATTGAGATGTTTCTGAATTCCTATTTCTCCCAAAAAGTGGAAGCAGCCCCAAAGTCCATCAACAGATAGGAATGGATAAACAAAATGGGATATGACATACACTGGAAGATTATTCAACCTTGAAAAGGAAAGAGATTCTGTCACAAGCTGCAATATAGATGAATCCTGAGGAGATATTTTTAAATGAAATGTCACAAAATGACCCATACTGCAGAATCAACTTCTATGAGATATCTAAACTAGTCAAACTCATGAAAAGAGAAATCAGAATGGTAGTTCCCAAGGACTGGAGGGATGGAGTAATGGAGAGTTATTGTTTAATGTGTACAAATATTTTGTTTTTCAAGATGAAAAGAATTCTAGAAATCAATGGTGTTGCTGTTGACCAACAATGTAAATGTATTTCATACCAGTAAATTCTACACTTAAAAGCTGTTAAAATGGTAAATTTTATGTTAAAATGGTAAAACTTTATAATTAAAAACATTTTAAGAGATTCTTTTTAAGATTTTGACTCTACACATCAGCCTTCAAATCAAATATGAGAGTGTTAGAATGCAAGACCAATTATCAACCATCCATTACCATCCAAAATTTAAGGCACTCCAGGAATGGGGTTAGAGATGTAGTGTGGAATATTAAACAAACAAGGAGTTCTGGGAAGTGTGCAAACTGAGCCAGGTGTTGGCAAAAAGTGATTTTGAAGGAGTGTTAAATTCAAGAACAGGAAGGAAGTGGAAAATTCACACTCTGCTCCTTCACAGTGTTCCCCTAAGAGCTCCTAATTATGAGCATTTGTGGGTAAGACTAGTGGGAAGCAAGTAAACTTCCAGTGTGCAAACTGAGCACACCTATGCTAGAGGTGTTAATAAGAAGGAACAAACTACATCATAGAGCAGACCCCCCAGAAAGTAAATATGAGTATGGATGACCCACAACAACCAAACCAAATTAGACTAAACCCAAAACACAACACCCCGCCCCTCACCCATACATCATCCCATCCTGTGGCCTCCCACCAGTGCACACAGGATAGCAATAGCAGTGAGCTTTTGTAAGCGGCTAGTGAGCATGCGCAGAGAGCAGTCCCACTTCCCCGGATTGGGAGAAATCACACAAGTTCAGTCAGCACCGTCCTAGAGAAAGCAAACAAAAGGGAGACTCTAGGCACCCATCTGGCTTCACAGGATCAAGAAAAGGCTTAAAAGTTTGTACTACCTTGTCCCAGGACATAGGAAACAAATATACCAAACATGATGAAGGTTTAAACTTGAATGTGTCTGGTTCTGAGACCAGTGCACACTCAGGCTAAAGTATTTCTTTTCTTCCACTGTATCAGTTCTCACCTCAGTATGATCAAGCATTCAAACCTGAAGGAACTGCACCCTCTCTCTTGCTTCTAACTGGACTTAAGAGGAAACGAATGAATAATATAGAAGCATGCTTCCTTCTGACTCCATTATCAGGCTTGGAGGAAAGGCATGAATCAGGAGTTGTCTTCCTTCTACTGCTCAGGAGCTGGCGGTATAAGGAGGGAAAGAATCAAGTCCATTGACGTGTTGGGCTACAGTTCTAATCTCTTTTGGTCAGATGTGATAAGCTGAATTTAACTTGATGTATTTCCCAATAAGAAAAAGCCAGTGAGCAAATAACTCACAACTGTAACTCTGCTAAGAGAAACCACTCTCACCATGACAATTGCCAGTTATATCCATCCTTAGTGAGGAAGACCCGGAGGAACATTGTAAGGAGCCTACCCTTGAGCAGAGGTGGGAGAATGAGAGAATTAAATATTTACACAACTTCATTAGCTCCAATGATGTCTCTACAACACTAGAGAAATAACATTTTTAGAAAAGAAGGTTGTGATTAACAATGTTTAATTCCGTGAAATGTGAATATATGTGGCAGGGAGGTTGGTAAGAGGTCATCTCTTTATTAGCCATTACTCCAAATGCCTTTGTGCAATCTACTACTAATAATAAGGGGGCTGAGCTGCACCTGGGTGGCTCAGTGGGTTAAGCCTCTGCCTTCTGCTCAGGTCATAAACCCAGGGTCCTGGGATTGAGTCCCGCATGATGCTCCTTACTTAGCAGGAAACCTGCTTCTCCCCTGCCTGTTGCTCTCCCTGCTTGGGCTCTCTCTCTATGACAAATAAATAAATAAAACTTTAAGGGTGCCTGGGTGGCTCAGTGGGTTAAAACCCTTGTCTTCAGCTCAGGTCATGATCCCAGGGTCCTGGAATTGAGCCCCGCATCAGGCTCTCTGCTCAGCAGGGAGCCTGCTTCCCCTTTCTCTCTCTGCCTGCCTGTCTGCCTACTTGTGATCTCTCTATGTCTCTGTCAAATAAATAAATAAAATCTTTTAAAAAATAGTAAGGTGGCTGACACATACATATAAATATTTTCCCATATATCTCAGAAAGAAAAGTTTTCATTATAACGATAACAAAAATTTACAAGTCCAGTAAAAATTGAATTATCTTTGAACCACTGAGCACTATTAAAAAAGAGACATATATAAATGGAAAGAAACAGTATGTTGTAAAACAATCAAATAATCAAATAATTACAATAAAATAAAATACAATACAAAAATAAAAACAATCAAATAATCAGACACTTCAAGGACTTTTGTTTATCACAAATAAATTTACAAATTCAATCCAATCATAAAGCTTAAATTAAATTATGAGTAGCAGAATTCTTCTATCCTTCTTTCATTAACATCTACTGCTAATGAATTATGTGAAAATGTTTGTTGTACCTACTGAAAATATAGCAATGAAGAAAATACAAAATTCTGTCTCCTAAATTCTATGAAAGTGTTTTTGTGAACAGATATGGAATTTTGTAAGTGAGAATAGATTTCTGAGTTTTAGCTGAAGCTCACATTGTCAAACCAATCCCTGCTTAATTTCCCTCAAACACACAAATAGTACATACCATCCCTGGGCTCTAAAGGAAAACCCATGACAAAATTTCTGAACAAGAAAGCAATCAAAGCACATAGCAATGCCTCTCAAATTTTGGCTGAAATACAGAGGAACAAAATTAATATGAAAATGTAATTAAGTAAAATATTTCACAGAGCTATTTTAAAACACATGTTAAATGACTAAATTAAAAAATAAAATAAAATAAAATAAAGCAGATCTTTGAGGAAAAAATTGATGAAAGGGGCATGCTCAAATCAAAATATATAAAGTGAAAAAATCACGATCATAATTATAATAAGGAATTTTAGAGACTAAAAACAATAATAGCAATATTATGTGATCACAGAATTTTCATTTTCATATTTGTACTTTCCATATTTCTAAATGTCCAATTATGTTTCAGAATCAGAAATGTCATAAATGCTACCTTTGAAACACAGTGTTTGAGCCTATCCATAGTAAGGTCTTTTCACTGGTACTAAGGAGTTATTTATAGAAAAGGAGCCTTAATAGCAAATGTAAAGTCATCTTTAAAGCCCAGATTTCAAAATAAAACATTACTAACTGCCTTCAAGAATCCATTAGGCAAAGTCATCTAACAAAATGTTCTAATTCTGTCCAGGTCATCATTGGCTTACTCTTCCTCTTATATGCTTTTAATGTCTAATATGTTAGCTTCCACTTGTGGATAAACAACAGCACAAATACTATCCTTAAGGTCTGTGTCAAAGGACAGGGGCTGCCCCAGTTCCAGGTTTGAGTGCAGGCAGCAGGTGCCTGGGAAGCAATGTGTGCTTGCTGCGCAGAAGTACACAGCTGAGTCTTCAGGCTGGGTGTCTCTGATGTTCAGGGAGAAACGTTTGGCCGTCTCATTCAATGAGATAATGAGTCTTTGGTCTTCTTTTGTGGCCACAGTTGAACGAATGTATATAAGGAGCTGGGGACCTTTTCCAAGTTCTTGCTTATACCAGGGGAAGTAGTCTGAGCCACCATCTAAATAACTGCAGTTGATAACAGAGCTACCTCCCTCCTGGACACTCAGGGTAGAAGGATGCTGCTCCACATTCTCTCCTTGGCTGAACCCTGTGCAGAAAGAAAAGGTCAGAGAAAGAAGTAGAGATTCCAGGTTATTGTGCTTCAAAATGCTCTTTTTCTATACCAACGGACCTGAGTAAAGCCAGTCTTGACTTCTGAAGAATATCCACTAATATACTCTGAACTCACAGTTGAGCTGCAGCCATGAGAACGTGATTAAAGCTCCCATGGATGTCTTCATGGTTCCTCCCAGTTAAGCTCACGTTCAGAATTGCAGCCTCCAGCCAGCTCAGCTCCCTCTCTTATCAGACCGTCCCTTCTTTCCTCTAACAGAGGACTTTCCCACATTGTCTACCAGCCAATTAGAAAAAGACTCTGTTGCTGCCATAGTCTAGTCCATCAGATGCACTAAAATGAACCCTCCACGTGTTCTTCATCAGCACAGGTGCACTGCCACTTGTGGTCACATCTCTAGGGAACTCGCTGGGGAAATGCTTTTCTCTTAGCCTGTGTCTCTGAGGGACAAATCTGCATAGAGAAATCTGACTTGCTTTGAGAAATCTATTTGAATGTTATGTGTCTTATATAATGCAAAATATTGAAAGACAGAGTAGAAATTCTAAGAAATCATCAAGCTGCAAACTCAGAAAATATAACTATGTGAGTTTATTTTTGAAGTGCTTTCATTTTCCCAAATCAAAATAGATGGCATGTCCCCCAAAGCAATGTTGCCTCATAGCCTCAGAAGAGTTTTCTCTAAAGAACCCACTATCCATCCTGTCATGCTTCCCACTTCCTGGTCAACACTGCTTCACATTTCATACTCCATCATATTTCTCCTAAATACCATGACAGTGTTCTTTCCCCAAGACTCATTGATGAAGTTCTCCAATCCTGTGAGTTTCCAGAATTAGCTCTCTCTTCCAAAACCCCTTTCTCATCCACGTGAATTTCTTGGAATCTTCTGATGACCTCTGTGAGAAAAAATCCAGAGAAGCATAAACATTGTGTGTGCTCAGGGAGTGGTACCAAAAAGAAACTGGTCCTAAAGAACTGATCTAGAGAAATAGTCCCTGGGAAAACAAGACTACCTCACTTCCAAGACCAAGACTTTCCTAATTTCTGTGCAGCCTACTCTTAGATCCACAAAAGGACAAAGAATAAAAGTCATGTGCATCCTCCTCTCCCACCGTGAAAGATTTAAAGACAGCTATAGTGAAGAATATCAACTCAAAATATAAATATATGCATATATATGAAATGTGTTTTTATGTGTGGAAAACTTCTTGATTCTGAGAATCTTCCATTCCATCCTCCACTCCCCATAAAGTAAGAATTCTCAAATTATTCTCTGGGCAAAATTCCATCTGCTGGTGGGAAGGTCAATTTTTGCAATTTTTAGGTGTGACCTTCAGAACTTAATGTGACCATTCATATAAATGACTCTCTTCCATGGATTAACTGTTGCACAGATAAGGCCATCCCTTGTGTAAAATTCCCAGCTCCATCATGTTTTCACAGAATATTGTTTTCCTTATGGCCTAGGAAAACTTCATCTACCATCTTCATGAACTGCAAGTTGCAGGAACCCTAAATACCCAGTGATCATTTTGCAGACAGTGTGTGAGTTATGCTCATTATACTCATTCTGCCTTTAAGGGATGTGCACCTGGGATAATAAATGTATTTGTTATTTTGGGGAAAGTCCTTAGAAATACATGTCAGTGTTCACATGACACCGTAACCTCTGGCTTCCTCCTACAGAAACAGTGAGTGATGTGTGAGTTTCCTGGTAGAAACACAGTGGCTCAGCCTGAGTCTCCCTTCCTGCCCAAGGTCTCAGACATTTACACAAATTGGAACTCTCCATTCAGACATTCTAACCAAATGGACCACAATTTTCTCAGAGCTAAGCTGCAGTTATATGACTGGGCTTGCATTAGACACTTTTTCTTTACCCAGCACAATGGCCCTACAGCGAGGAGGCAGGGGAAAGAATGCTAAACGGGAAGTGAGGAAACCCACTTCCTTTCTTGCCCAGCTTATTCACTACCTAATTGTTCCATACTGTCATCTTGGATACAGTCTCTGATGTGTAAAATTAAGTTGAACTGAAGGATTTCTAAGGGCTCTTCCGACTCTAAATTTCTTTTATACTATATAACAATGCAAATATGTATTGAGGACTGGTTGTACGCGCTGTGGACTGGTGTCAGAGTGGGTGAAATTGCCTGCATCATGGAACCCCAAGACCATTTTCACAAGCACATATGATCTAGTGGGTTTGAGTTTGATCCTAGCCAACACTGAGGACTCGTTGGAAGCAAAGACATCGTTCTTAGAATGAGATCCTATCTGGTCTTTCATTACTTCTATGAGATCAATAATGTATCAAGGGGAACTATATCAATATTAACATGAACTAAAATGGGACTTTATTCACTGACTGAAAACTCCTCACAGGCAGTGGGACCAGGGGACTCCATGGCTGAACCATGAGTAGGCAAGATATTCTTTTGGAGACATATTTCTTACATATATTTATTACATATAACTTATCTATCGTATGAAGAAAAGAAAGAATCTCCAGAATTGAGACAAACTAGAGGAGGCAGATGAGCTTACTAACATGGAAAGCAAGAAGCACTTTTTAAAATATCCCAGTTGCTTTCTGGATTCTGGCTTTTTCCTAAAACTTTAGTTTGGAGTTTCAAAATTTCTAGCCAATTTTTGAGATAATTTCAAAATGGAAATTTGGGGACTTTATTCAAAAACCAAGGAAAAGCTGTCATTAGGTAATGTTTCTAGGGGAGATATTTCTAAAATTCTTTAACTTGGGGCACCTGGGTGGTGCAGTTGGTTAAGCTTCTGCCTTTGGCTCAGGTCGTGATCTCAGGGTCCTGGGATTGAGCTCCACCTCAGGCTCCCTGCTCAGTGAGGAGCTTTCTTCTCTCTCTCCCTGTGCCTACTGCTCTGCCTACTTGTGTGTGCTCTCTTGCTTTCTGTCAAATAAACAAGTAAAAAAACTAAAAAAAAATTAATTAAAAAAATAACATAAAATGCTTTTAACTCTTCATACATACTAGTTTCATGTCTCTGATTTTAATTTTTTTAAGATTTTTTACTTATTTATTTGACAGACAGAGATCACAAGCAGACAGAGAGGCAGACAGACAGAAAGGAGGAAGCAGGCTCCCTGCTGAGCAAAGAGACCGATGTGGGACACCATCCCAGGACCCTGAGATCATGACCTGAGACAAAGGCAGAGGCTTTAACCCACTGAGCCACACAGGTGCCCCTGATATTAATGTTTTAAAGACTTATTTTTTTTTCAACGATCTCAACCAGGTTCAAAGAAAAATGAGGCCAATGTACTGAGGCTTTCAGTCCACCTCATACCCCCACACAGGTATGGGCTTCCAACTATCACCTTCTCCATGACTCTTTCACAACGGATGAGCCTACACTGCCACATCATGTCACCCAAAGCCCACAGTTTTTCTAGGGTTCGCTCCTGCTGTTCGACATTCTGTGGGTGTGAACAAGTGTATAAGGCATGTATCCACCATTATGGTATCATAGAGACTAGGCTCACTACACTAAGTATTCTCTGTGTTCTGTTGATCCCTGCTGCTCTCCTCAACCCTTGGCAACCACAGTCTTTTACTCCCTCCATAGTATTGCCTTTTCCAGAAAGTCAGAGGATCAGAATCATACCCTACGTAGCCTTTTCTGATGGGTGGTATTCACTTAATAAAATGCTTTTAAGGTTCCCCTATCTCTTCACTCCTTCATGGCTCATTTCTTTTTAGCAGCAAATCATATTCCATTGTTTGGATGTAACACCATTTATTTATTCATTTGCTTATTAAAGGACATGCTGTTCACTTCATAGTTTTGGCAAATGTGAACAAAATTGCCCAAAAACACCTGTGTAAGTTTTGTGTGTGGACATAAGTTTTCAACCCTTTGGGTAAAAGGACTCAGGAAGGCCATTGCTAGATCATAGGATAAGAGTATGTTAGTTGTGTAAGAAACTACCAAACCACTTAATTGAAATGTCCATGTAAACACTTTGCATTTGTAGTAATTTCCTGTAGGTATTTACTACACCCTTGGTTGCATGTCAAAGCCCCAGCTAGTCCAAAGCAGGCACAGACAGCACAGGTGGCCCCGCCAACTGCTCAGCTCTCACACAGCCTGCTGTGACCCAGAAACTGAGTCTGCATGTGTTTCTGCCTGAGTCCTGCTGTCCACCTATCTCCCTGCTCAGGCACTTGTTCCCCCACTTATGGGACTCACTTATAAAAGACAGGTACAAAGCTAAAACAAGTATTAATTTCAAGACAGTGAGGGCACAGCATTAAACCAAGGGCAGGGTTCCTTGAGAGAGTGGGAGGCGGTGTAACTGCAGAGTTTCCATGCTCAGGAAGCTGACTTTTCTCCCAGCTTCAGGGAGTCTGCCCATCTATCTCGATCTGAATTTTCAGGGGCACAGGCCTTCCTATCAGTGCCCTTTTCTCAACATAAAAACCAGTGCAGGCTGGAACTCAGTATGTGCTAGAATCTTCCACATGCAAGTTTCAACTTTGGGTTTGGGGTCAACAGTCTTTGTCTCTGGTTACAACAGAGAAGGGGATCATTTAGGGTTGTCCTGGAAGCTTTTGACTCCCGTTTCCAAATTGGGAATGATTTTACATAATCATGAAAAAGGATTCATTCAAAATGGAAGGAAGAACAATGGATTTTCATGGAACATAATGAAAACTTCCATGAGCTCTTCTACACAAGGTGCTATTTAGAAATGACTGAAATGGATACTTCTGTCAGTGATATATGTCAACACATCATACAAACTGATCAAGAAAAATCATTCAGATTTTGTGATTCTACAGTCTTCTAGATGAGATACTCATCTCTCTCTCTCATAGAATAATCTCCAGATTCACTAACATTGGATTCCACCAAGTCACTTATGCTCTAAAATCCTCCCTTTATTCGTGAGTAAAATGAACATACCTATTTACAGTGTATTACCTTACTGAAATAGAAAATATATCTAATGGGACAAGCAGAGTGCCTGGTCCTCAAAAAAATTATTTTATTATATTTGTATTTCCCATAGTGAAAAAGCTAAACACAAACTTAAAAAAAGTTACATTCTCCTTACTATTCTTTGAAAATAAAAAAATCTACACTAACTAAAAAATTCAGTCAGATCCCTCTGTTTGTTCAAGATCT